TGAAGAGAAAAAATAAAACAAATACTGATTTGTTTGCCCCAAAGTGTTAATAGTTATAGTAATTTGTCTAAATTGTTTATTATTTGTGCCGAATTACTAGGTGTGTTGGATACACTATATAGCAGGCAACATACATTCTACCCTCCTCTGTCATGGAGATTGGAAGCTAGATTTCCTAGATTCCCTTGCAGCCAGGGTTCTGGATATGACTCAGGTTGGGCCTATCAGGTGCACTGGAGTGCAATCTACAAGGAAGAATTGAGTTAGAGGCTGCAAATCTGACCTGCTGGCGAGCACCATTCAGTCACTAGCTTTGTACAGCAGTCATCAATGGCTAGACTCACTGTGTGGCAGTTTGCTCTCTGTGGATCATAGTTTTGGAACGGCTCTCTTCGTGACCTGTGGAGAATATTGACATTAATAAAACACATGTATTTCACAGGGTCATAGCCTATAGCATAGTAGGACCAAAGTCCTTAGTTTAGTAGGACCAAAGTCCTTAGATTAGGCTGTAGCATAGTAGGACTGAAGTCCTTAGTTTAGCAGGACCAAAGTCCTGTAGTTTAAGCCTTATCCCAATTCTTTAGGAAAACATGTAGAAATGCTAAGTTTGGAAAAGACCAAAAAAAACCTTCACAGGACTAAAGTCTGATGCAGATAAGAGAATTGAAACACAGCAACAGTGATTGCTCTGGGGGCAGTTGGCCTTGGTGCAGCTAAACCTAAATGATGCGAAAGTATGTGAGCTAAAATCTTCAAGGCTATTCTGCTAGTTAGTGCTTGGGGGATGTTCCACATCTTACCCTCAGCTGTTTCTTTTAGTTTCTTGGGGAGCTAAGCGCTGCCATGGTGATTATCTCATTGTTTCTTTTGTATCTCACATATCTTAGTTTTATGACTCCTTTTGAAGGTAAATTGCTTGATCTATTTTAAGTTACACCTGCTTTAATGAAAATTGTCAAGTAGGCAGTTTATGTTTTCATTATGACTGACTAACCACCCATGTTGCTTCTGTAACTTTCTTGCCTGCACAATAAAAGCTGGGAATAAACCTGACTAGGGGCTGTTCCCGGGGCCCTTCCCTCTTGAAGGAGTTTTCCCTGGGTCCAGCCCCTTCAGGCCTCTCATTGCTCTGGATACATGGACTCTGAGTAACCCTTTGTGTCTCTGTCACTCTGTGACAGGTGACAGTGACCTGGTTCTGTGATGTGGCTTTGGAACTTGTTCCTAAAAGCTCAACCTAGAGTCCACTTCATTAGCCTTCCATGTATGCCTTCAAATAAATTTATTCTTTGTTTAGCTAGCTAGAATGGATTCTATTCTCTGAAACTTAACCCAAAATATTACACCAAACAATGCAAACCTCCTCTCTCAGTGGTAGAAAATGTGGCATATGTTAGCTTATACTACTACCCCACAACAAAGTATTGTTTTATTGTGTGATCACAATACTGTACTTGATTCATGGATAATCAAACTTCAGTTTTTTGACTAAATCCACAGTCATTTACTCTCTACTTAGGAAAAAATAGTGTGATCCTTTGGTGTGATCCATTGATGTGATCCTCTTAAAACTCTTATTGCTACTCCTGGAAGCTGAATAGCTTGGAATGACCCTCTAGATTCCCTTCAACCCTGTGGTCTTCATCTACCATATCCATTCTTAGAATAAATGCCATCACTATATGTTCCTTCCGTAGGAAACCACCATCCTCTCAATTGGAAATGCTAGAACCTTGAAATCCTCAATGTCATGTCAACCTTTCTAAAACAATACATTTAATACTAGACTTTTTCTTTCTTTAATTTCAGAAAACTTACCAAGTAATCTTGGTGAGAAGTCTAATATAAAAGTACATTAAAAAATTCACTACCAATCACAAAATTCTAACATGTAAAGTAAAAACAAAATCATCTTTATATCCCCACATTCCAAAGCATAAGGTTGAGTATCAGAAGACAACCTTTTTCTATCAGCCTGTAACATAACATGCTTATTTCTGGGTATTTAGAAGGATCCAGGCAATCAGAGCTTTATATATGCCCCAGCTGGAATGACTGATCAGGCCTCTAAGGAAGAGACAGGCAATCAAAGGTTGCAGGATCTAGGCATTCTGGGAGACAGCAATTGATATGATGCCAGTGTGGTTAGGGAAACCTGTCCCCAATCCTACTCAGATATCCCCCTCCCAAAATACCCTTATTTATAAACTAGTATCCCTAAGAGACAACTTTTATATTCCGATTTGATCAGTTTAAGTAAAATTAAATCTGAAAGGCATGGAAAAAACAATCACTGCGGTAGCCCTTTCATTCTACTCCATTAGTCTTTCAGACCAACAAAGTTAAAAGAGAGGTTGTACCAACCAGCCGCAAAAAAAAAAAAAATCTGTAAAAGTTAAATGGTTATTTTAAAGATACAGTTTTAAGCAGAACTTCATTGAATTTCAAGGTTTGCTAGTGAGAGAGATCCGTCTGTTATCATTGTCCCTTAGTCTTTCCCTAAATTTAAAGTGGGGGTCCCTGGGAAACCCAAGGCATACATGGGTTACCTCTCTTGACACATCTAAAAGGTAAAATTACCCATTTTATCCAAGAGGCAAAAGAAACTTAAAATAAGATAACTTAGATATGAGACCTTTCCCTTAGAAAAATAATAGCACATACAAAAGGAACACAATCCCTTCTAAGATTTCAGGCCAGCAAGGTGGAGTTGGTTGGTATCACCATCGTTCTTCCCTTCAGGGCTTTGGAGTTTTATTTCCATTCTTAAACTCTTTAAGGAGCACAAACTATTTGAAAACATCTCTAGGCATCTTTTGCTTTCCCAATCACTTTGTCCTTTTCTTGTACCCACCTTTCTACCTTAAATCCTGATGAAGAAATGTTAAAAACTCTGCATGAGTGTATTAGAAAAACTTAGTAAATGACTTCACAATTGCTCCTCAAAAATATTTACAAGAAGATCGTTAGATAATAATGTATGCTCAGAAAGATGCAGAAACATCTGACCAAGAAGCCTAGACACAGATCAAGAGCCAGCCCTTAAACAATATAGACACAGGGATAGCTCAAAGGCACAGCCATCTGGGTTGGGCAGCTTCCAAAAGCAGGCCTGAGAAATTCCATATGCCAGGGCCTGGTAGTATACACCACTCTCACCATCATCCTTTGAAGAAAGTTCTAACAGTTAAAGTCATCCCACAGGCTAGTAGGCAGATTTCCAAATGGCCTCAGTGGAAGTGGAACTCTGCCAACAGTAAAGGCAACTCCCCAAACAGTGCAGACTTTTGAGAGGATCAGGGGAATGACTTTGATATACATACAAGGAGGGCTGGCTGGTTAGCTCAGTTGGATATACATTAAAAAGGGTCTTCAAAAAGTTCATGGAAAGAGGTGCATTATCTTTTAATTCTATTTTTCCACAAACTTTTTGAAGTACTCTTCTATGTATGTATGGATAAAAGAGTTAAGTTAGATAACACGAAACACCAAAAATGTATTTGCTGGTGCACTAAGAGTCCCTCACAAACTAAACACTCTGAAGCTAAAATCTAAAATTTTTTACCCCAAATTTAAACCACTCAACCTCATTTTTATATTATATACAAATACAGAAGTTTTTTTTTTAAAGATTGGCTATCTAAAGCTATCAGTTTATGCCTCACACAGAAAATTTGAAACTAAAAAATATGTTCTCCAGAACACCAAGGCTCATTAAAATATTTTTAATATTAATATACATGTTCTTCTCTCAGAAATACACAAAACTTTCAAATATTATATCAGTATGAAACAACAAAACCCATTGACATAAACATCAAATGTTTTACAAAGCAAATAACCTACATATTCAAAACAATTTCAATAAATTTTTCACTTGTATTTTTTGGAATTATAGTACAGACCCAAATGGAATGAGGATTGCTTCAATTAAAAGTTATTTTTGTAATTTCAGTCTTTCACAGCTTAGTGTATATGCAATCTTACTGTTAATGAAATAGAGAATTGTAATATTTTCTATTTTTTATTAATCTTGTAATGAAACAGAAAAGTATCCTGTGTTGCATTTCTTGCAGGAATCAGTTGTTATGTACAGTCATTAGGTCTTGTTTCTTCAGTGAATGATTTCTGAATGCTTTCAATACGCTCATCCCAAGTGTTAATTAATTGCCTAGTCTATTTACCCAGGATATGCTACTTCTTGAACATGAACTGATGATGTGTAGCCTTTCAAATTAATGGATGAGGTAGTTCAATCAATGTAATCACCAAGGTTTGAAGTAAAGGGAAAAGGAAGAAAACAGAAAAGTTTTCCTATCAACCAAAATACACATCATTCTCACACAGGTTTGGAGAGCTAAGATGAAATTTAAAAAATGAAGAGTGGAAGATTAATCCTGAGGAAGCACATGTGAGAGAATGGATGAAAATGTCTCACCTAAATGTGGTTCTGTAACCTAAACTTCCCCAGTCAGGCTGCCATATTTTCATTAACATTCCTACTTTTCAACTTTTTAAATTGTAAGAATCATTTCAACAAATACCATACACATATATACAGTACACAGTATCGCACTGGGCACCAATTTGAAATCTCATGAAGTACACATGAACGTAAGGCACTTTCGCGGTTTACAAAAGTGAATGCCTCAAAGTTAGATATTTACTAAAAATGGAGAAACAGTCTCATAAAAGTTTATAGGAGCCCTGAAAAACCAAGTAGGTATGAGTCATTAGTGATCCTGGCCCATGCTTTGAGAAACTTAGTGTAACTAAAGAACAAGATATCATAGATAAATAACTTTTTTTTTTTTCCTTTTTGTCTTTTTTCGTGACCGGCAACGGATCGCAACCCTCAGTGTCGCGCCCGTACCGGACCGGGACCGGCCACGGGATCGGCCACGGGATCGCAACCCTCGGTGTTGCTCCCGCCCCTCGCTCAGCCAGTGAGCGGCCGGTCTGTATGTGGGATCCGAACCCTTGGCGGGAGCGCCACCGCGCTTCCCAAGCGGCGCACTATAGCAGTGCGCCACCGGGCCGGCCCCGATAAATAACTTTTTTAAATTACAGGTTATATACATCAGTGTCAGGATTCTAAAACTGTTCTTGTAAAGATTTATCAGTCCTAAATTCTTTTAGTTTCTCAACCACAGAAGACTGAAGATTAGACAACAACCACTCATGGTGTACTGCTGTTTAGATTTAGTGATGACACCACACCATGTCAGTTATAAGGAAACTGGGAATAATAAAATCTTTGAGTTTGTTTTGCAAAGTTATTTCTTACAAATATTATAACTAAGATATGATCTTATTCAAACTATTCAAAAATGTGAAATTTCATGTATTTCCTCAAAATCAAGAATTTTAAGTTTCCAAATATTGTTGCTCTAAATAATGTAAGCTTTTCTATGACTTTCCAAAATTAAAAGAATGTCTTCAACCTATAATGTACTATATTTTCTTGTCCAGGAGAGACAACAAAGCTTAGATATTATAAAGCCAAAAAATTAATTTAAGAGAATAATCCATTTTTTATGTCATCTTTCCTAAAAATTCTTAAAGAGCCAAATCTGCTCTAGATCATGGTTGGTAAGGATATGTCATTAACAAAGTCAGGAAGGAATTCAGGACAGATACAACTGTACCTTGCCTCTTCATCCACGAAGTAAAAAAACATGGACTTTAATTTTTAAAAAATTATTTCTACGTTACATCATTTTAACAATTCAGTGTTTATCTTAGATCTAAAAATGAGATTTTAAAATCATCTTCTAAAATTAAAATTAAAGAATGCAATTAGCACATTCTTGCTGCTGATATGGAGTTTACAATGCATACTGAGCTCCTTTCATTATTTACAATTCAAATCTTTGTTGCACTTCATCTGCAATCATTCCAGAAATTGCAAGGGAAGAAGTGGCAGCAGGGGAAGGAGCATTTCTCACATGAAGAATGCGATTTCCAATATCCCCAACTCCTCCATCAAATACAAAGTCTTCTACCAAATTTCCATCTCTATCCAGGGCTTGGGCTCTTACTCCAGCTGGACCTCTGCAAAAACAAAAAAGTGGCAGTCAATTGACTCAAAGAAACACGATACTTTACAAGTCAGCGGTTTCCAAAGACTTCATCAAAGCGATAAAGTTTTTATTCTCCTAAATAGACAATTCAATAAGTTTATATTTAGCCAAAGACCGTCAGTTGTAGCCTGTCAAACCTATATTGTTAGCCTAGAGCATAATGCTTATTACATAACAGTACAATAAATGCTTATCAAATTAATAAACAAATAGGTAAGTTATTTAAAAATATCTGTTCTTTCCAAAAGTAGCAGATAAATCCACACTTATCTAAAATAGGTATATGATGGGAAGATGGAAAATATTTTGGTCAGGGCCCTTGCCTTGGGTCCAGTTGGGTGTGGTTCAGCACTCATTGTAAGCAAATTGTGTGTGTGTGTGTGTGTGTGTGTGTGTGTGTGTGTGTGTGTGTGTGTGTGTGTAGTTAGTACACATGCGCACAAGTGTTGGTTGCTATTCTTGTGTTCTTCAGAGAGAGAGAGAAAGAGAGAAAGAGAGAGTTAGTTTTACTGAAGCAGGCAGGCTGGCAACTGCCTCCGCCGTCCGCCTGGTGCAGCCATGCTTTCCAAACCTATTGCTTCCAAGGACCTTTGGGCCAGTTACCTAGCTCATAGACCTGCGTGTAAGGGGTCTGGGGACCCAGCCTGATGTATGAAGGGTGTGGCCCAGTCTGTCAATGGGCTTAAGGGATCTGTGGGCTCCAGACCCAGCCTTAGTTTGACAATCAGCCCAGTTGGTGCAGGATTACCAGCAGGTAAAAGAGCACCACAACTGGCGTAGTTGTGGTCGAGTAGCTTTACAATTGGTGTCACAAACAGGATTAAGAGCTAGACAATTGGCGCTGTGAGCAGGATTCCAGGGCACTGCAGCAGCCAGACAAATTGTCATCGTTGGCAGGATTTCCAGCATTAGCAGACCTCCACAAAGTGGTGTAGTCTGCGACAGGATTCTGAGCCGGTATAGGATCTGAAAGCCTTTGTAAGAAGCAGCAAATGTGGCTATCTTTGAGCACGTGGTGCCCAGTGGCCACCTTTCTGCTGACCGGAGCCTGGCTGCTGCTCACAATGCTGCAAACTGATCAAGATTTGTGGCAGAAAGCAGAGTTGTTGGAAGCACGGATAAATGTCCTGGAGGATGACGTAAAGCAACTGGCCCCTCCTGCCCCTCACACAGGGAGGACGACCAACCCAGTGGTGAGTTGGGGAAAACTGTGCGTCTCCAGGCACAATCTGTTGTGCATGAGAAATGGAGACAGTAAAGCAGCAGAAACAGGCAGAGCCCCTGGCTGCTACAGCTATGGGACCTAGGGGTGGATGGTGTAACGTGCTCTAGAGACTATGTAGTAAACGCATGTTGCATTTGTCTGAAGGCAAATGGCTTGGAGGGTGCCACCTAAACCTGATGGCTGGCTGGGTGCTGTAAAACGCGAGAAATTTTTTGAGCTGTGAAGAATTTCCAAGAATTAGATACATCACTCAGAACACAAAAAAGCTGAAATTTGGTGGGGAAAGGATACATATCAGTATGCCAGCCAATGTGTGGTCCATTTTGTGCATTCTTTATTTATAGCTTATCTCAACTCATCAAAGTGGCATTTCTCCCCTCTTTTCTTGGAAAATGCTGCTATTGTTGTTGAGAGGTCTCTATGTTTGAGTTTTTCTGTTCCTCTCCTTGTATCTGGCAGAAGATCAACATGTTGGGAACACAGAGTGGAACGACCAGCCACTGATATATTGAGCGTTCAATGTAAAACTTTTCTCTCTACAGAGGTTCAGTCAGTACATGCCCCTTGATCCTTCAAAGCATATGGAAGTTAATACCGATTAACTACAGTTAAAAATCTCTATGATTATTTATTTCTCTTACAAACATGAATTATGTTCTCAGTGTCCCCTACATTCTTTCTTAAGTGTTCAAAACCTATAATTCAAACTGAAAAAATCGTGAAATATTAAGTGTTTCTTAGGCTCTCACTTTAGTTCAAACCAAAGTAGCTTTTTAACATGAAATATTTAAACTACCAAATTCTTCATGTTCCCTTTTCAGCAGTTAAGGGTTTTTCTTTAGAGAATTACTTATAGGCTTTCCCCTCAGAGCGCTTCAGCTTGAGGCAAGTATTAAAATTGGAAATCTTAGGGAAAATAAACCATAAATGTCTTGAGGCAAGGACAGTGTCCTGTACAATACCCCACATCACCCCCATATCTAGATTTGTGTATTGCACGTGGTTGGTATTCGGTAAGGCTTTTAGCTTTAACTTGAAGTTAAAAATTTTTAACTTTTAATTCTTTCAACTTTTAATTCTAGTTTAACAACTGGAAGAGCAACTCGGCAAGAGTTTTTTGCTGTTCTTTTTTTTTTTTTGGTGGCTATCAACAGCCATATATTTTGCTATATTTGTAGCTAGATTTAATGGGAATATATATCTTAGATGCTTAAGTATGTACATCCTAGATGCTTAACTATGTCCAGAACCAAGAACGAGTGAATATGTAACTTATTACATTCATTCGTCTGAGAAGTACTGTATTGCATTATTGTCATGGGGCAGGCATTGCACTGTCGGCTGGGAAATAGTTATGAAAGGCTACAACTGACATCTTTGGCCAGTCCTGAATAGGAAATCTAGTATTTTATAAAACTCATGACGGATCTATTTTTTTTTTTTTTTAAAGATGACTGGTAAGGGTATCTTAACCCTTGACGTGGTGTTATCAGCACCACGCTCTCCCGAGTGAGCCGCGGGCTGGCCCCATGAGGGATCTATTGATAACCTAAAAATACAAGCCCAGTGCTCACTTTGGCAGCACATATACTAAAATTGGACCAATACAGACAAAATTAACCTGGCCCTGTGCAAGTATTTCGTGCTACATGCAAATTAGTGAAGCGTTCCATTTTTTTGGACTAATGGATACAAAACTGTACTATCCAACCTAAGTGAATTGTTGTGCAGTATACACATGTATTGAAACAACATACTGTATTCCACAAATATGTACAAGTAAATGTTAAAAAAAATTTTTTTTTTGTCCTTTTTGAGACTGGCCGTACTGCACTCAGCCAGTGAGCGCTGTGAGCGCACCGGTCATCCCTATATAGGATCCGAACCCGTGGCGGGAGCGCTACCGCACTCCCAGCACTGCACCCTGCCGAGTGTGCCACGGGCTTGGCCCAATGTTAAAATATATATATATTTTTTTCCTTTTTGTCTTTTTTCGTGACNCGCTGTGAGCGCACCGGTCATCCCTATATAGGATCCGAACCCGTGGCGGGAGCGCTACCGCACTCCCAGCACTGCACCCTGCCGAGTGTGCCACGGGCTTGGCCCAATGTTAAAATATATATATATTTTTTTCCTTTTTGTCTTTTTTCGTGACTGGCAATGGATCGCAACCCTCAGTGTCGTGCCCGTACCGGACCAGGACCGGGACCGGCAACGGGATCGCAACCCTCGGTGTTGCACCCGCAACCTCGCTCAGCCA